CCGTCAGTAGGTCAGGCTACAGTACATGCTGACTCACCCTCAGTCAGACATGAAAAGAGCTGTGTTCACCATGTAGAATCACATGTAACTAATGAACACGATGGTCCGTGTCTGTGTATAAATGTGTGTGTGGGTGGGTGGGTTTACAAAGACACACTGGGGTCTTTCACTCCCGCTGTCTAACAACCACTCTTTGTAGTCCCCCCTCTTACGCACACTGAGCGAAACAGTGTAATACTGATTGGTATTCAGACCTTTAAATGTTCAGTTTAAGCAAAAGTGTGTGCTATGTGCACATGTGAAGTCAGTAAAGAAGGCCAACTTAGTCCATGACCAGCAAAGATATGAAATTACAGCTGTTCCCATTGTTTTACAGAGTGTAAGCATCACTTCTGTAACTGTTGTTTGAGACCACAACAGACTCGGCGCAAAAATAAGGCAACACGATTAAGGACTAAACAATGTACAGACTTCCTCATAGGAGTAATATAGTGACCGCCAGAAACTACCGTTCATAAATATGTTTGCATAGTAGTGCGTTTCCTGTTTTGCCAAATAACTAACAGGGCATTTAAGCAAGTCTTTTACTTTAAAAGGTAGAGACGAACACTTCCTGTGTTATCCTTCCTGCTGTTTCCGCATTTTAGGTGTTTTTAGGAGTAAATGTGTTTTAATGTAGAAAGTCTACAGACCTGTATGTTTCCCAGCGTGTAACAATCTGACATGACAGTCTGTCAGTCCAACTTCTCCTTTTGTGTCTTTGGCTGAGCGTGACTTTTTTTTTTTTTTACCTCTACCTTAAGTTGACTTTGGACACTTTCTGTGTAAAGACAGTGTTCTGTATTTTAACAGGAAGCAGATAAGTTGTTTTATTTTATGAAGCTTTTTTGTGTTGCTCTTCAGCTAGCATTATTTCCTCTTTCACTGTGGATGTATCCCTGGGAAGAGTCACATCTTCTTTCTGTTTATTTCAAGCGCTTTTGCCACTAAGTGCATGTGATGTTGAAACTAAGACGGGTGTAAAGAGAACATCATGACATTTTTGTCTTTTGGAACTAATGCTTTAGTTTCATGCATAAATCTGTTAATTACAGGAGACAGCACACAGTTACACCCTCTACATTTGTTTACACTTTTACAGGCACAGTCAGCATTTGCTCTAGCCGCTGTTGGGACACGATGGAAATCTCCCACAAACACCAAATAGATCCAACTGCTGACTAATTACAAGATAAGAACAAAATTGCAAAAGGGAATATTTCATCAGTGATTTGACAGAAGAGACTGAAACAGAACTTCAAACTTCATTTAATTTTATAATCATCTTTGGTGTTTAACTGATGCTTCACAGTAATTTGCATATAAGGAGGAAGCAGGTTGACAATCAGTGTCGTGCTTTCATTTTTATAGAACTAATGTGGTTAAAAACAGCTACTTTCTGACAAACCACAGCCAAATGTTGTTAAAGGTGACATATGCTTGTGATACATGTGGGAAATTCCTGAGTAATGAGTGTGACAGTTATAACCTACTGTAAAAGCTGAAATGAAGATCTGTCCTCTCTCATTTCTAACTATAATTTAAGGACGTTGACTAGTTTACTGCTTCACGCCACCTTCAACTCAAGGTGAGAAGAGTAATGCCGTTTGTTTATTCAGCTGTCCCTAGTCATTGAATTGCTGTCAGGGCCTGACTGAGCACTACAGCAATTGTAAAAGGGAACTTTTGTTACTAGCATTGTATCGTTGAAGTCACGTGTTACCAAAACACGTTCTGCCCCTCTGACATCCCTGCCAACTCCTACAACGTTTTCCTCCGTCCCGGCTCACCACCCCTGCCTCTGTTCTCACTCATATACCCATTTGTGCTTCTGTGTGTGTGTGTGTGTGTCTGTGTAGCCACGTAGGTCCCTGGACGTTGGGGACTGGTCCACCCACTCGCTCCGCTGTTAACTGTGTAGCTGCTGGTCAGTTCGAGTGCATTATGAGCAGAACACCAGCAAACTGAGAGGAAAATGCATTTTTACCGACAAATAAAATGTTTAACAGCCCAGTTACTATGGAAATAATAACACAACTGGAGTTAAATTTAATCATATTACAACAAGCTGTGTTGTCGAGTTGATAAGTCCAACCCACACTTTCCTTTTTCCCTAGAGTGAGCTCAAACTCACAGCCAGTGACAGAGAGGAGGATCAGGAACAATAGCTCGTGAACACCTAAAGAAACACTCCCTGATTTTGTTATGTGCCCCATAACGCTCCCATATCCTAACATTTCCTGCTAGTTTAGTTTCTATTTTTAAACTAACACAGTTTACAGTTGGCTTTAACACATTCATTGTGAAATGAGGAGAACGTGTGGGATACTGAGATCTACCGCAGCAGTTCCAGACATTTTTTACGAGCTATACCCCCCCACAGCTCTATGTACAGCACCAGGCGTGTTCCAAATGTGTTCCCCTAAAGTGCTTTTAAGTCATTTTTCATAGATTTGAAATCTTGGGTGTTTATGTCAGTTTGGTTCAGTCTGAAGTTGTACTGCTACTGAGAGAAGCTGGACGACTCAGCCATTTTATCTTTTTGTTGTTTCAACCATTTATCCTTAACTTGTAGTCAGTGGTTACCTGTTACTTTCAGCCATTGTATTTGTCCTGAACCTTTATCCAGCTATTTAATCGAACCATTCAACCATGCTTTAGAATTTCACAAAGCTTTCTTTAACTAAATGGACACAAGCCTTTTTTTCCACTGCATAGTTAACCAATATAAACATTTAACAAGCCTTGTTGCCATGGAATCACACCAAGGTTCGGCTCCACTTTATTACATAGCGACTCTGACTGATAGGCTGAGTAAGTGGCTGGATGAAAATCTGACAAGCTGCTGGCAGAAATGACTGAATGGCTGAATTCCCTGTTGAACAAAGGGAAGGGAGAGAAAAGGGGAGGTTGACAGGTAGCAAGCATTGAAGGGTAAAAATGAAAAGGTGGATTATAATATGGCTTAGAAATAGGAGAGAGACATGGCAGGAAAAAGAGGGAAAGATGAAGCGAGGGAAGTGAAATTTAAAAAAAGAGTCAAACCCAAGTCATATGCTCCTTTTCCTTTGTGAATGAACAGGCTTCTCCCAGTACCTGCTTTGCTCCCTGACCGGCTAAAGCTGCCTCCCCAGTTATACTGTTTAGCGACACGTGCTCCACTTTTCTCTATCTAAATGAGCCCGAAGCGTCTCCATCTGTGTTCCGACTGTAAATTAATCTCTTTGTTGTCTAGGCAGGGACAGGATCGGGACAATGAAAAGAGTGAATGAACAGAAAAAATAGACATCATCATTAGAGATGAATGAGAGACGTGAGCGGAAGCATGTGAAAGAAATCAGTAATATCCTATTTACATGATTATAATCTGATATACCCATTAGTGAATGACAGATGGATGCAAGATGGGTAAATGACTGAAATATCTGTCCTTGAAACTGAACAGTCTACTGTCAATGGCTGGGGTCCTGGGGCACACCGTGGATTATAAATCTAATTATTCATATTCATACTTTTTTTGACTCTGCAATCCATAATATATGAACCCATTATTGGCAGACCACCAAGGCACATTGATTTTAAAATCCTCTCTAGGCCATTTAATCACCTCCGCTGGCATGTGCGTCTCTGTCATTTCACTGCAGCTTTATTTTTATCCACATCTCCCAGGATATCCCAGGAACTGCCGAAATGAAAGTAGGATGCTAACTTAGTAACAAATGTGGGATGGACTACAATCCGATGTTCTTGGATCACAGGATAATATAAGTATCAGTTTAAGCTGTCCCTGAGAGCATTTACGCCCTTTGTTAACCGTGGCTTGGGTTCATACTGTATCTGATTACAAGTGGTTAACAGTTAGTCAGTGGACTGGGTTTTCTAACTGTGGACACACGGACTCCCTGAACAGTCTTTCTTTTTACTCTGAAATTACAATAAACCACAAAACTACAGAAAAGTCTGGAAAAGCATCTTCTACCCTGTGTATGACTATACTCATGCACTCTAGCCTTTCCTCTGTTAGCCTGCTAGGAATTCTCCAAATCTGTTAAGTCGCTGTATTCCTCGCAGTGGGAACAGAATGTGGGTCAGTGCCAGCTCAGGAGAGTTGACATGGGCTTACTTACCATCCACGCCACAGCTTTTACCAGACCACATTACAACGGCACAGCTCCACCTGTGTCATCACGACCACGTGTGATTACACAGAGGGACTGTAAAGTTAGCTACCACTGATCATCACTTCATCCACTACAAGGAATTCCCCTGGACCCCCCTACCCAGACACATCACTCTGGCAATGAACGTAGCTCCCTCCCTTTTTCTTTGGTTAAAAGTTTACAATAAGAAGAGAGAAGAGAGAGAGACACGCGTCTGTTTTTCACTTAATATCTATCCTGAATTATTCTTACTGATACTGCCAATGTATTTTCCCCAAACAAAGCAGCGTTCAAATAGCATGCATGTTATAAGTAAGAACGAACTGGTGATTTCCGGTCAGCTATTGGATTAGATTAATTCACAGGTGTGCTTTTAAACAGCGCCAGCCAATCAGAACGCAGAGCAGAGGCTGTCTATTTTAGATTAGGCTATAAAGCTCTACATTTAGCCTAGAAGACTGAAGTGTAACCACAATGGTAGGATCTAGTAACAGAAATATCTGATGTGACTTTATTACTTCTTTATGTTCATGTTGTTTCCTAATTATCCGTCTTCATTACCTCATTGCATATGGCCCAGATATTATAAGCCATAGACCGAGCGGAGCTAGGCCAAAAGCACCGACAAATGGCCTATTAATGTTTCTTTTTCAACAGTTTGCTTTAGGATTGACACGCTGACAAGCCCCACAGCTGATAAACTGACTTCTCAGACTATGCCATAGAGTCCTATTACTTAGCAGAGCTGCCTAATCAATACGTTCGATCGGTTTCGAGGCCGGTTATTGTTAGTGTCTTTACCTCACAGTCGTAGAGGTCCGTTAGCTGGTCGATAATCCACTCCTCCAGGTTCAGTCTCTTCCTCAGCTCCTTGCGGTCGTATTTGACGGTAACGCGTCCCTGCTTCCGAACGGGGGTCTCCGGCTCCTCCGTGGTTCCGGCCGGCGTCTGGAAATATACCCGGGGTTGAGGGCTCGTCTCCGGGCTTGTTACAGCAGCCATGGTCGCTCGGTTTGGGAAAAGAAAATCCGCCCCGGAGGTGTGCAAGTGTGAAAGGGGCGACGGAAAGGAGGCGAAAAGCGGTATGTGGACGTGCGGCGGTTCGCTTTTCCGCACTGAAAATCCCGACTGATGAATGTGTGACTTGAAATCCACCGAAGAAACAGCGCTGGACCTGGTGCTTTTGTTGTCCAAAATCGGTGAAAGGGGCGCAGGCAGTGGCCGGCCGCTTCCAGAGCACAAAGGGGAGCGAAGGGGACGCTGAAACGTGGAGTGAAACCGGCTTATTGGGCTATTTACAGCGTGCAAACTCTGCTTATATAAAAGGTGAAGGCAGCAGCGGGGCCGGTCTCAACTCTTCATTGAGTACAAAGAGAAATCACACGTCTCTCTCTCTCCTTCCCTTTCCCCACGAGAGGTGCGTGCGCGCTCTCTCACTGGACTCGAGCGCATCCGACGTAGCGCGACAGGAAAAAAGAAAAACAGTTGCTGTTTTTTCGCTCGACTCGTTTTCCGTGTTTATTCTTCAGATATCAACTTGTTTCACTCCACGACTCTGTTTCCCTTAACTATTGCATGTGACCTCCCTGTAGGCCAGCGTTTCAGTGTAGCTAACTACATTTGGCACCAGAAAAAGAGTCTTCGCCACCAAACATAAACATCCAAAACAGACATTTGATCTTTTCTGTGTACACATGCTCCACTTTAAAATACTTTGACATTACACAGTGACTCATTCAGACCTGGCCCCTAACCTTTGACGCACTTTTCTAATAGCCTTTTATTTACCATTGTGGCTAGAAACAAATTAGTGTATAATAGAGACCCACTAGGTTTGCAGTGCATTGTGTAACACGTCCTTGCAAAGTATTTACACAAATTGTGAGTTTGCCCAGGGGCATAACTGCTTCAAGCACTTGCTTCTGAATGCTCATCTGGCAATACAGAATAGTCTACAACTAAAATGTCTCCTCTGGATGGTGTGAAATGTATACAGGCTGAATGTCACACCTGGGTTTCACAGTTAAGTCTATATTTAACAACACAAGCAAGTGACTAGTATGCATTCAGTGTGGCAGAATTAGGTTTCTCCTCAACTACTGTAGGCAGAGTGGAGCTGGAGCAACTGGATATACTAGTTCAGTTGAGAATTGGTTTCAAAATGTAAATTCTATGCTCCATCTCTAGGCCATGGCAGAGATAAAACCCATGAAGGTGTCCCATGAAGGTGTTCCATCAACAGGAAACCAGTCCCATTTTCCACAGTCTGAGCATTGTGCTGTCACAGCAGGGAGCCTCGCACCCTGGCTGGGATACTTAATAACAAGAGTTTTAATAAGAATAGGAGTGAGAAGTGAAGGGGGATGTAAAGACAGGAGGAGCCTGTCTGTCCCTCCTCTGGAGTTTGTATGGGGGCTTTCACATCTGTCAACATGATCATATTGGTGTGTGTGTGCATTTTATATCAGTCCAAGCAACCGTTTCATGAACAACCATGGCAACAAGACATAAAAACCTGAATTATTCAGTGAGCGTGCCTGAAGCTTACAGCTGAGTAAGCACAGACAGACCGACACGCGCACGCACACACACTGTAACTTAAATATTCATATGTGCATGCATATAAAAATATGAATCATATAGTCACTATTACACAAAACAGCTTGGTACAAACCTCAAGCGGTGCCAGGTAATAAAATAAAATGCTTATGCAAACAAGCTTTGTGCATCTGCATCAGTACATTAGCTAAGTGGACTTGAATGACCTGTCAGTGATATCTGGGTCTTCTGACTTCATGTCTGACACAGATATCTGGAAAGAAGGTCAGTGTAAGGTCAGGACATAACATTAAATCTATGGAGGCCTTGTATGAATTTAATGAGCTCAGATAATCTCACTAAGAGCCTGACACTTGAATTAGCCACACAACTGAGCTTATTAGAATCTACAGTGAGAATGAGGGGCAGCCATTGTTGCTTGTGTGTGTGTCAGTGTGTTGCATTGTGCAAAAAGGTTCTGCTGTTGCAGGAGCAAGTAGACATGGTGGCACAGATCACTTCCTCTTTTTGCAAAAGTTTGTTAAGGAAGCTACAAAGTCGTGATGTTTGATAATTAACATGCTCAGTGGTGAAAAATATGTGCAGCTACTCAAGTCATGTTTTTAGGTACAATTATGAGGAATGTGTATTTCCATATTTTGCTATTTAATATGTCTGCTACAACATTACACTATTTACTCCACCACAGTTATTTGAGTGGTTTAGTTACTTTCCAGAATAAGATTTTAGATTAAAAACATGAGAAGTTTTTAAAATACCTAGCAGTGTTTGCTAGCTTTTTTGGTTTGTGACCCTTTACAACAACCTGACATGGGGCTGAGGCCTACCGAGGTAAAATAATCCAATATTTCCCCCCAAAATCAAACATTTGACAAATATTTATTAATTTTCCCAACCCTCTCCATTCCCAGAATGTGGGAAATTAGATAAAACTAGCTCTGTCTTCACAAACTAGAACAGTAATGCCACTTCTGTATTGATGCATCAGTATTAATAGCCTAATAATGTAATAACATCTATCACAAGGACCATTTTTACTATTGAAACTTCTGGATTTAAAGGATCTAAGTACTTCTTCCACCACTGGGCTTGCTGGATACTAGAGGCACATACACTCAGAGCAGAGGGGAAGAGACTCAGAATCTCAGCCTCTACTTCCCCCTCCAGCATTAACATGAACCACTCCCAGCTCTAACCTGATTCAATAGAAGTGGTTTTACCAGGCTATATATTTATTTGATTACATACATGGACTGATGGAGCCTGATTGGTAGAACTGCTCTCTCAGACCCCAAGGAGACAGTAGCTTCTCATCCACTAGGGGGAGCTGTTGATCTGTTTCTCCTGTGTGGTCAGTTTTATAGATGAGGTGCACTAGAAGAAACAATCTGGATGACAGGGTACAACTGTACTCACTTTGTGTGATCATAAATCAGTTTCTTGTCACAATTAGTTTAATAAGTAAGATATAGTTACTTGTATTTATCATCACTGAAACGTTCTTCTTCACACACAGATTGTCATAAGTTCGAGTTGAAATCCAGTCATGACCTCTGTCTGTATGATTGCTTTCCCTCAAAGCAACAAATCAAACTGTTCTTTAGAACGTACTGTTGTATACACAGCGGTTTTGCCCTGATTCATTTGTGCAGATACACTGCTGTGACTGACAGGTGTGCACATACACAGAGAGTCTACACCCTTGTATTCTCAACAGAGAACAACTGAAGCAGAGCTGTGATTTATATGCCCACATTCCTAACTGTTGCACAATCCGGTGGAGGGGAGGGTGGTGGCACCATACAGCCATTAGATGGCAGTGTAGGATTAGAATGCAGCCATGTAGAGGCAGTGAGTGTAAAACTAAAAGTCAACATGCTCGACCATGTGGAGCACTTTGGTTGTGCAGATAAACTCGTTTGGACAGAGTGGACTGTAATGGATGGCACTGTCATGAAAGGTAAATCAGAGGCCCTGGTCATGCCCACCTACATTATTTATGAATGCCTCTTCTGAGGAAAACTGAAATAAGCACTTTTCCTACACGCCCACATGAGAGCTTTTCTCCAAAACACAGACAATAACCCTGCAGTGTTATGGAGACAGATGGGTCTCGTCTCCAGTGAGCTGTCAGCAACGTCAGGCCCAAATTTGAGCAGCGCTGTGGAGAGAAATCTGACAGAGTTTTTATTGCTACTGTTGACTGAATCAGGTCGTTCCCATTAAAGCTAGTGGGTGTGCTGTACATGTGCATGTCTGTGTGCACGAAGAAAGGGGCAGTGACAGTGAATATGCCTGTGTGTCTATATACAATGTGGCTTTGTGAGTCCTTGGCTCTGCGTTGGAGAAAATGATCTGGCTGTTACTGGAGGGAGAGAGAAAGAGAAGAATGGCTGGGGGAATGGCCTCTCTCTTTCACTTTATTCCACTTTGAACCAGTTTTCCTCCTTTTGTCTCTTTTCTTAATCCAGATTTTGGCAGTGATATCAAAATATTTTGGGGCAGCTGTGGCTCAGGAGGTAGAGCGGTCGTCCCCTGACAGGAAAGTTGGTAGTTTGATTCCCGTTCTCCCCAGTACACATGTCCAAGTGTACTTGCGCAAGACGCACTGAACTCCAAGTTGCCCCTGATGGCCAGGCCAGCGCCACCTGCGGTGTGTGTGTGTGTGTGTGTGTGAGAGTTGGTGCCACAGATGGCTGCCCATTTCATAACAAGTAAAATCAAGTTCCTTCACATTAAACTGCCATTAGCAACAAGTAAGATGCAATGCTACGGTAGCAGCTCTGTGAGGTGCAGCTGTGCACGAAACTAATGGCATGCTAATACCAGCACTAAACACGATAATGTTGACCATGGTTTCCATGTTTACCATCTTGGTTTAGCATGTTAGCAGGCTAATATTTGCTAATTAGTGCTAAACATAATAACAGCTGAAACTGTGTTGTAGGTATCTATTCACACACAACCAGTAAATATGAAGTGAATTCTGAGTAGAGGAAAGAGAAAAAGAAAGGAAAGGTTGGCTCATCTACATTTACTGTTGCTGCTGAATACAAAATGTGTTGCTTCACTCCATGTTTATTCAGAGGAGCACAATATGTCATTGTGACCAAGAGGAGCAGAACACTAAAGGAAAACCACAGAGTGAGAGAGAGGGAGTGTGTTTAAATGTAACATTGAGAGGACAGAGAAACCTAAGGAGAAAAAGAATTTGTGAGAAGAGGGAGAGAGAAGAAGAAGAAGAAGAATTAGAAAGAGGGGTGAACAGAGGGAGGATGTGGTCTGCTGACACTACAGCTGTATGCACTTCAGATGCAGCCCAGCATTGTTTAGTTAAAAAGAAGTTCATTTGCGTACAAGAGAGGAGAGAGTGCGTACATCTCAATATGCGACAGAGAAACACAATATCCCTGCTTATGCATGTGTGCTGCTGTTGAAAGAATGAATATGCATGTGTCCCTCTTGTCTTTGTTTGTGTATTTGTGGGTGTACTTCTGTGGTGGTTGAAAATCAGATTAGTCGGTACCTGGACCAGCGACACACACACACACACACACACACCAGTCCAAATGCTAACTTGTTGAACAACGTGTCATCCTCCTCTGGGTGATGTGACACTTGCACCAGCACTGTCTAAACACAAATATATACTTGTTTGTTAATGATAGATTAATTCTGATTGATTCTTCTGGATTGTTTTATTGGACTTCCTCCAAACTCTCTGTTTTTAGCCAAGGAAAAACACACCAGCAGTCATTCACTCAGTCAGCAGGCTGCAGCATAGCAGACATTCCTGCAGGGTGCAGTTAGGGAGTTGGAGAATAGCAAAGGTTGCCAGAAAATCTGTTTCTCTCTAATGTTTGTTTTATTTTATTTTATTTTATTTTTGAGAACTTGCGATGTTGTTTGGAAAGACTAGATTTGGACAGGATTATACTGTTAACTGTGGCCCCTCCCTTTATTCTCATGCTTGTTAAAACGATATGAGGTCACTGATCCTCTAGACAAAGGGGAAAGTTACCTGATTACTTTCAGTGGCTTCAGTTACCTGACCTCCACATCCTCTAAACGATCCCTGTTTATATAATGCAGATTTAATATCATGATTTATGAAATAGATCTTTAATCTTACATTGACTGCCTGGCTATCCCCTGTTACTTTAAAATTGCCTCTAAGCTGATTACTGTGAATTTCCATTAACTGTGATATCTGCTACCATGTTGTTAATAACATTACTGCCTGTGCAAGTAATCTGTCACTGCCAATGCCAAGGAAAATACTTCAAGCAATTAAAGGCAAAGATAATCAGAAGAATTAAAATGGCCCTTTGATTATATTTTTGCATGGTGCAGTGAAATAGTAAATAGGAAGCTGCTGTAATAGGAATCACCCTGCACGTTATTTATGCCATAGTTCAGTGGCTCCCGGCCTTTCCTTTCTCATGCCTTTTATGATCTTTTGCCCCCTTAGACTAGCCTGTCACCTCCCGAGGCATCCTATCATAATATTTCTACATGGTTTTGTATTTTTATGGAGAACTGTGCAAACATTCATGACAGGTTTGTGGTAGCTGCACATCCACTTCTGTTTTGCACAAGGGCTTATTAAAGCACTCCATGGGTTTTACATAGTGTCAGTGTCAGCATAACAGGAAGTAATACACTGTCGGTGGAAACAGTTGTGTATTGTTGTTCTTGGCTCCATAAAGTTTGAACGAATTACCCTTACTGATGTCACTGGTCACCTTAGCTTGGCATTAGACTACGTTTTCCAAAGAAAGCTTGAATTAATGGAAATATATATTGGGTAGCTACAGAGTTGTATTATGGGAAGTGTAGGATCCAGTGTTTTTTTAGTGCTTGACTTCATACTACAGACCAAAAGTCGGACTGTCTCAGCCTCTGCTTTACTGATTTTGACCTTTAAAAAAAACCCCTGTATATTACAAGTCCCCCAGCTTTATGGAAGTACAACACTAAATCACTTGAGTGTACCTTTGGACTCCAGCAAACCCTTTGGCTGCATTGGTTAATATTAAGGGTAGTGATTAAGTAAATCAAAAAGTTGTAAACCAGTAGAATCATAACTTTTAGTAGGGTTGTCACCTGGCCTATAGGGACAAATTATCTTATTTCAGAACAATAAAGCAGACATAGTAGGCTGTCATGTTCGTGGTGCTTGTCATACGCATACGCCTACCGTAAATTTGAGAAGACAGAGGAGCTCAATTCTAACACAACCCTTTTACAAAAACTCTGACTCCCTCCCTCCACCTATTTCTCATTCACTCAGCGTTATCTGTAGCTGCCCTTCTCTCCCACAGTTCCCTCTCGGAAACGTCTCTCTTGTTTTTTCAACTAGAAAACATGCAGGGGGCAGAAGAGGAGGAGAAAAGAAGAAACGCGTCGGAGGCGACAAGAGAGGGAGGAAGCAGAGAAAGTTGGTAGAGGAGCGAGAGGAGGAGAGGTCGGCCAGATGGGAAGAAGGAAAGAAAGGATCTCTCCGTGGGCACAAGTGCGCAATTAAAGGATTCTGCACGAACAATCAGATTATATGAATTAAATTCTGTAATTAGAAGGGGAATTATAGGCGCGCCACCGCGTCGCGTGGACGTGGACAAGACAGCGCGCACTGAAACTGCCAAGTCCTTTCTCTCTGTGGATTTTACTCCTCATGTTCTTCAAACTCTCGGAGATGTTCGCTGGATTCAAAGTCGGTGTCTGAAAACCTCAGCTCCCCGGGTCCTTCAATTAACTTTCTCCCCGGAAAAGGAGCTCCGCGGTGGAAGTGGAGGAAGGAGGAGCGCGTTGTTCTTTCCGAGGAGTCCTGTTCGCCGTAGCCGGGGTTTAGGCGTTGGCACCCGGGAGGGGAGTACCTCGCCATGGCCGGGGCCAAGCCAGGAGTCCACGCGCTGCAGCTCAAACCCGTGTCCGTCCACCAAGCGCTCATGAGGGGGGGCAAATTCATCAAATGGGACGAGGTGAGAATGAAACCTGCCTTCAGCACACTTACTACGTTTTACAGTGAGCTGAATCAGGTTGTTGTTTCTTGATCAAGAAGTGCTCCGATCTGACTAAAGGACATGTCAGCCTGCCTGTGACCGTAGGCCCACTGTTAATTGGTGGAATACAGACATAGTGTGCAGGTGTATGGACACACTCGTCCTCCTGAACACAGAAACCTGCTGTATTTGCTCCTTTGTGTTAGTAAAAAAAAAATCCCCCGTGGTTGCCAGCAGGCAGTGTTTGGATGTGTGTGTTGTGGTGACTTCTTGTCAAACCGGTTTTCTTATGGTTCACTTCAGACGCCCTCTCACACCCCCTTTCCTCTGTCCTTCTGCGCTTGTCTTACTTTTCCATGCGGATTATATAGAGGAGCAAACACCTGAGTGAGAATCAGGAGCTTTGAGCCACAGACACACACTTGGTCTCACCTTGATTTATTTGTTTTTACTTAACTAACATGTCAGTTTGGGTGTTGTCTCTCTAAATCACGTCAACGCAAAGACTTTAATTATTTGTCCTGCTCTGCTTTTCTTCCGCTTGTCTGGCAACCCTGGCATTCACATGTCAGCGACCATAATAATTGGGTGTGTATATTTGTTGGGCGTTTGTGAGACAGAGTGCAGGGCCGTTCTGCAATGTTCTTTATAGAGAGAGCAGGTGTGTGTGTGTGTCCGTGTCTCTGAAAGGCCATCAATGATTAACAGAGTGGCTGACAGACTAACTCTAGGCCTCTGTCTTCCATTTGGAATCCCTGTCTTAGATTTATGATTGCAATTGCACACCAGATGTGTGTGTGTGAGCGTGTGTTTACATGTGTGAATCGTCAAAATATTGCAGGAAAAGGTCTGTAAGTTCCAATAAAACATGATAAATAAGTGTGCTGTGCAGGTATGAGGTCAGGTGTGCTATTGATATGCACACATACACATGCAAACTGCTGCTATAAGGGCCAAAAGAAAAATGGACAATATGAGTGTTTGAAAGGAAAACAACAACAGAGCCCCACACACATTGTAGTAATGATGTGATATGTCTGTGTGCATGTGTGTGTTTGGCCTCCAAAGAAGGGTCTTGTCACGCAAACAGTGAATACCATGTCCTTTTGATGTCTTTTTTCTCTCTCACACACACACTAACTCTGTCTGTCTCTCTCAAAGGGAATTCCCAGGAAATGGTTAGATGGCGATTAAGTGTGTGAACACTCAAAAACATGTGCATGCTTTTTCCTTGTCTATCTTTCATTTCCTTTTCCCATTTGCCATTTCTCTGTAGAATCAAAAAATTAAATATGGGTGGATAAGGGGGGAGAGAGATCAAAGTTTGTGGGAGGAGGGATATGGGAGAAACAAACAAATGCCTACTTGTAATGTAGCTACAGAGCTAATTAAATTAATTGTTAAAGTGTTTTCTTTTTATTAAAAGAAAGATTGTGCTGAGGATCAGATGCCAAAGACATCAGTATCACAAAATCAAATTCAACCTCCAAACAGCTGGTGCATATATTTCTCAAATTAAACCTAAAAAAGATGAATTGTGGTTAACTGACAAAGCCTGTCTAAGTTGGTAAGCTGCTGTCATCTGGACTCAGGGAGTGAGTATTTTCTCTGTACATCAAGGTAGTTCTGAAACATTTAATTTATGTGATTAGTAGTAAAACATGTCACCCCAGTCTCACCCCATGTTACTTTGGAGCCAGTTCCTTTTAAGGACCTTTAAGGAGTCCTGCTGAGATAGCCATCCTTCCAACCGATTTTTATCTCTGCAGAGGACTTATGAAGCTCTACTGGAGTGACTTTTGGGTTGTTGGTCGCCTCCTTGATCAAGGCCCTTCCCCATTACTCACTTTGGCCAGATGGTCAGTGGCTAGTGGTTCCAAACTTATTCCATTTCACAGTTATAGAGGTCACCATGCTCATGTGAGCACTCAAAGCTTTAGAAATGGTTTTATACCCTTGCCCTGCTCTATGCCTCATCACAGTTTTATCTTGGAAGATTAAAGAAAGTTCATTGGACTTCGTGACTTCGTTTATTGCCATGACATGCAGTGTGAATTCTATATAGCTGAGCTGAAGCAGTTCTGTTTAGAAGAATGGACCAAAATTCCTCCTGAATGTTGTGCAGGTCTAATCCACAGCTACAGGAAATGTTTGCCTGAGGTTACTGCTGCCAAAAGTGGTTCAACCAGTTATTAAAACACTCTTGCCATGATTTTTCCCACCATCACTTTTTATGTTAAATGAGTGTGTTCAATAAAGACATGAAAGATTATGACTGTTTATATTTTATCAGCTTAGAAATACTGTTTTAGTTGATATCTGTGACTTTATTGAAGATCACATCATATTTCATGACCAGTCTATGCAGAAAACCAGCAAATTGCAAACAGTGCCATTACTTTTTCTTGGGACTGTGTGTATACAGGTGTGTCTTTCTAAACTCTGTCAAATCAATTCAGTTTGCTACAGGTAGACTCAAATCAAGCTCTATAAGAATAATAATAATGATAAAAACATGTTTTCACTTTGTCATTATGCATCAATGAGTGTGGACTCATAGGAGTGACAAATACCTATTTTATTTTATTTTATTTTATTTTATTTATTCAAAGTTTGCCCTAGGAGAGGTTAAGGGGTCTGAAAAGTTGGTGCATTCCATACAGAACTTAGCAAAGTGAAAAAAGATTTAGGACATGCACAAACACCAGGAAGTGCCTCAGGCCAGTGCAGTTTGTTTACATGAAAACCCCTCTTTTGACCCTTTCCCCCATGTCTCTCTGTCCTCCCACCAAATGTTTCCTATCATCCCTTCATATTTAACATTCTTAGTCTTCATTCATTCACTCTTGTATCACTGAGCTCTCGCTGCCAAGTCCTATGGAAAATCTTTTGCTGTCACTGCAAAACTTCTGATTGTCATTGCCCCTGTGGTATTCTACTATAGGTCCATCAAGTGATGCCTGCAAATATATACACACACTTGTCTTTCTGTAGATGTGAAGACACACTGACATGATACATTTTCTAGCCCTCTAAACCTGTTTCAACCCTTAAGCCTAACAGTCTTAACCTTCATATAGCTGTTTGAAGTTGTGATGACTGGCACAAAATACCCTCACAACAATGACAGTGACCTAAAGTTTGTCCACACAAGAAAGACACACTGACTCATGTACGGGGGTGGAGGACGAATGGAATCCAAATTGACCCCCTTTCTTCTGTGTTTTGGCCTGTGTACACGTGTAGGCTCGTGTGTGTGTGTGTGTGTGAGGCTGTTTTGTTCTGGATGTGTGTTTCACATTGAATGACTTCCTGTTCAAGCTTGTTGTAAGGCTCCGAAGCCAAACCATTTTTTCTTTTGTGTCGCTCCATGCCTTTGCCTCTTGCTGCTGCTGCTCTGCCCTCTGCAGCCTGGCCACAATTCAGTTTAGACAAATTCCAAGTAGAATTCAGTTAATAAAATTCCTCCTAGACAACCAATTAAAAAAAAACAAAACACATCAGTTTCACCCTTTTTTGTCCTCTATGCTTTCTTCCCCTGCATCTCTGGCCTTGCTAAGCAGCTCATTTTCTTTTTTTTTTTTTCTGCCTTCCTTGGCTTTACTTGGTTCTTGGCAAACAGTCATTTGGAATTTTTTTTTATGATGCTGATAAAAAAAAAAGGTCAGTTTTTGCAGCTGTGTGCGATTAGTGCTCTCCTTAAATAAATAAGATGTGTTTTATCAGAGTGTACAAATTCTGCGCTGTTCATGTGTCAGCATTCACTGCTGTTACAGTAGTGCTACTTTGGATATATGTGTTGAAAGTCCTAACAGGAGGCAAGATGATGTCATAGAGCTTGGAACGCATTTTACATCTGCACTGTGGCAGCCAAGATATAAAGAAAATATTTCTCTTCTCAAAGACAGATCTCTTTTGTAACCAGAGGTACTATGCCATCACGAGCTTTCAGAAAAGCACAACGGATTCCGATTTCATGCTAATTGCTCATGTGAGCCAGTGTTTTCCGAAAGTGGATGTCTTGGTTAATCATCATATTGATGTACGGAAGCAACAAGCCACAAACTGTCATTATCAGAGTGAAGTGAAGGATGTTTAGGAGATGTGGGAAAACAAGAGGAGGAAACGTAAGCTTGTGTGAAAGTTTGACACCAGGCTGAGAAACACTGCTGACATCTCAACAGAGTGGTGAGAGACGAGGTAGATGGATAGACGGAAGGAGATGGAGAGGAGAGAGGTGGAAGGTCAACCACAGCCACATGTGAAGTGTGGGACTGACATCTGGACTGGTCCATCTGTACTCCTCCATGTAGCCTCATGATGTCTCTGTGTTTTGCATGGGATCTCTCCCCCATTCATTCTTTTGTCATCTTTCCATCACTCTCTCTTCCAATTTGTCCCTGCCTGCTTGTTGTCTTTTTTTTGTTTTGTTTTCTCCTCAACTTAGTTCTGCTTCCTCTCTGTCTTCTTCTTTGTCTCCTCCTTTCTATCTGGTCTTCAGTCTAGTCTGGTGACTAACACTGCTGAGGTTAAGGCTCTTCATTCCTGATGCATGTTCAAAGTGCCGCTTAAATGTCTTGTTATAAATTATCTATATTTAAGGCCTAAAAAGGTTTGATAGACTTGTCACTATGCATTCGCCTGCCTCTTGTTTCATTCCTGTGAAAATCAACAAATTTTGAGAAGAATAGCTTTGTTTTCAGCTACTGTAAAGCCAGACATGCACCCCAAGCCAATTATTTGCCGGCTTTTTCACAACCAGGTGTCATGTCTGAACAAAGCCCCAAGTCATGCAGCCTAGCCGGCAATGTATTACCGGCAATTTTACATGGTACGACCTGGTCAAATAGTTGTCTACATTCTTACTGGCTCCGTGTCTGAACTGCTGTGGTCAAATTGCTGGTAAAGGCACAGTCATGATGACAACAATCCAACATTTTGTCTGTTTCACTTCTTTGCTCTAGGCAACACTGCTCCCT